TGCTGCTTGGCCTGCTGTGTTCATCCAGCTCTACACCTTGTTATCTCAGATTTTCCAGCATCTGCAGTTCCTACTGTCTCTGATACAAATTTTATGTAGTTCACCGACAGAACTATGCATTTGTTGCAATTGCCTGTCTTTTTGTTAAAACTCCATTCAACATACTTGGTTCATGCATTTCAAACTTTTTTATTTTTGTGTTCTTTGATCATGTTGCTAGTGCAATGCTATTTCAATTCAAGTCTGTCTATTGTTAATAGAGTAAAAGGTCTGATTATGGCAATTGTCCAAATGTGCGCATGTCTAGGATTTGAACCTGCCAACAACTAATTGAGAATGGAGAATGACTGCAGTAACATTTCCATATGTGTTCATTATCTAACTTAACTCAATTATTTGTCCTTTACACAATTACATTATAAGCAAGGTATAATGCCTAAAAATTCCTGTATAAATTGTCCAAACCCTCCTGTTATTATGTATCATCAAAGCTCTAAATCTCTCTCTTTTGTTTTCTTTAAGATGGAGGTAGATATTTACATAAAATATTTAATTAAGTTAAATATTTCTTCACATTCAGGAAAGTATTTATATTGCTTGCTGTACCAAATGTAATGCATGTAATTAATTTTAATCCAGGTCTCTTTATTTCTCACTCTTCTAACCTCTTTTTATTTCTTTCTCTTTGTGTAGTTCCTTCCCTTACCATTATTATTACTAAGTTCAAATTCCACATGGTTTGCATTAACTGTTAGCAAATGCTTTCTTCTCTCTTTCCACTTTGACTTTCACTGACAACTCATCCCTTGAGTCTTCACCAGAGATCAAGCTTGCAATCACTATGCCCTTTTTGGGGCAATCATCATACACATCTTTAGCTTGCTCCAATGTTTCAAATGTTTTTATAAAATCAACTTCTTTTAACTATATGTTTGGTTACCTCCCACTCCTGACATAATTCTGAAAAGTTGCAGCTTGTAAATACCCTATGCTAAAATAAAGAAAAATTTGCATTTATAAAACAGCTGCCTCAAATATTCCGAGGCACTTCATATACTTCACAATTGCTTTGAAGTGTGGATGAACTTGGCAGTCAGTCAGAGAAGTTTTGACAGATGCTTTATTTCTAAAAACAAACTAAACTTGTTGTGGCGATTGTTTGTGGCCATGAATGACAAGAGCCTTTAAAGGTCCAAAACCACAGTGGAGAAAGCTGCTTTGCACATTCCAGTTTAATGTGCATTCATGGGTTTCTCAATATTTTGCCACATTCAAAACAACACTTTTTTTATTTAAATCATTTCCCATTTAGTTTTACAGTAACATGTTGGCAATGTTTTTTACTCAGTTGCTTGAGAACAAAGCCATTGAATGTAGAACAGTTGTTTCCTGATCCATAAGATCCAAATCCTGTTAAGGGATTCTTGTCAAAGCTTAGATTGTTTTGATAAGTTGTAGTACACAAATTTCTGGGAACACTTGAGTCTTCATCAACTTTAATTCAAAGTATTTATAATAATAGTTTATTTGTATGTTTTTGGATTCAGTTGTAACTATAATGTAGTTTGTATAATAGAGCATGGGCTTAGATTCGAATTTCAAATTTAAATGGCATCAAAGCAATGTGCCAACCTTTAGTTTTCATTAGTCTTTTAACTCTCTCTGGTACTTTCTCTAATCTTATATCTTGGAAGCTGGATCCAATGAAGTCGCTGTGCTGATATGGGTAGGGATCATAAAACAGCACAAACTGAGACCATGTGGCCCATCATAGAATGGCTCCGATTTTGCTAGCACATGTTGAAAATGGTCAAAATTGTAATGCTCTCTCCCGAGTGATTTTCATCTGTCTCAGCTTGTCCAGTATTTCTCAAAAGATGCTCTGCTCTCTTCTGGTGCTACTCTCTATGACAACACATTTCATACTCTACAAACTTGATGTGTAAAGACATTTCTCCCACTTCTCTCTCTCGCGGAGTTTTAAGTTGATGGCACCTTGTCACCTTGACCATTAGGACACTTTCCCTATGAGAAATGTTGCCCAGTAATATATTTTTTACAATTGTACAGGAACTTTAACACATTCACTGTGTATATATTTGGAATCAGGTAAAGCATCCAAATTTCCTTTGTCCTATACCTGTCCTTAGTTAGATTTCGCAATGATGCATCTGCTGTACTAGAGCAATCTTTTGCCAGGTTTTTTTTATGATTGTTACTTTTAAATCACCATTGAAAGGAAGGTCGAGAAAATCCTGGCAAGAAGTCAGGATGCAGAAGCATTAAGTTTGAAACTGTAATTTCAAGCATTATCAATGTGATGATCCTCAGCCTGAAAGAACAGGTCTTCAGTCTGAACTACTCACTTGAGGTGCTCCTAATGAATTTCTCTTGACCTCAGTGAAAGCACTGTTGCATCATTGGTTGCCAGTTCTTAAAACTTCCTCAGATACAGAATAAATTTAAAATTTGCTTAATTATTCTAACTTGTGAGGTTTACCTCAACAGTTTTTTTTTGCCTTTGAGTTCTGAAAGCAGAATGATGAAATGTAAATAGTTGAACTCCTGTCACAGAATATGTTTGCTAAGTAAGCACGCAAAACACAAGGAAGATAGTTTGTTAAAGCTACTTCACTCATGCAGGTCTCCAGAAAAGCAGAAAGCTGACAAAAACTAATTCTAAAGGAATTGATTGGGAATAATTAAAAGCAGAATGTTATAACTGCCACCACTGAGTAATTTGTTTATTCTTCTAACTGTAATGTTTATATTGAGTTATATCATGTGTCAGTGTTTGTTAGTTAAATATCCTCCTACATCTATTGCAGGTAAATATGCCCACCCTTCAGATGGGATTTGTAAAACCTAAACTTTGCCAAAAAAATTTCTTGAATAGAATGGAATTTGTATAATCATCAGAATCTGCATACTAATCTAAAGTAAGAGGGAATGTGATTTTTTAAAAACTTCTCCATTCACTAGCAGTTGCAAATATTCTAATGACATCTAGCATTAATTGTGTTCATGAGACTAGTGTAGTATGTTATGCCTGATCTTTTGTTTGACCACATTTTTATTATGTATCCATTCTTAAGTCTTCCACAGATACTGAATGTATTTCAGTTCTTCTCCGTCATCTACCTTGTGCAAGTTTATCTCCATAATCGTTTCTTTTTAGTATAATTTCCATAGTTTATTTTGTCAGTATAATTACCCATTGTGAGATAGTCTAATAGTATGTTTGCTAGTTCAGATGTTAGATGCTGATCAATAGTGTATTCAAAATAAAAACAGATAATAGGAGCAAGAGTGAGCCATTCAGCCCTTCGAGCCTTCTCTGCTGTTCAACATGATCATGTTGGTGATCCAAATCAGTATTCTGTTCCTGCTTTTTCCCTGAACTCTTTGACCCCTTTAGCCCCAAGAACAATACCTAATTCCTCTGGGAAAACTTTCAATGTTTTGGCCTCAACCACTTTCTGTGGCAGAGAACTTCACAGGCTGACCACTCTGAGTGAAGAAATTTGTCCTCATCTCAGTCCTAAACGGCATACCCCCCCATATCATTAAGCTGTGACCCCTAGTTCAGTACTCTCTGGTCATTAGAAACATCCTTCATGTGTTTACCCTGTCTAGTTCTATTAAAATTCTTTAAGTTTCTAAGAGATCCCCTCCCCCCCTCATTCTTCTAAACTGCAGAGAATATAGTCCTAACTGATCCAGTCTCTTTATATTTCAGTCCTACCATCCCAGGAATCACTCTGATAAACTTTTATTACATTCCCTCCACAGCCAGAGCATCATTCCTCAGATAAGGAGACCAGACATGCAGAGCATTTTAGAAATACTCCTCAACTCAGGCAACCTCTATGGAAATAAAGCAGTCAAGTTTTGACCTTGATGGTTCATCCAAATATTACTACCTTCTTTCCACATATATTGTGTTTCAAGAATGTTTGTTTTGTTTTTACTTTCAGATTTCCAGCATCTGCTGTATCTTGTTCTTTTGAATATTTTTATTAGATCAGTTTCAAACCCAAAAACTGCCTTTGTTAAGCTTCTCCCATGGGTGCCAGTAATTCTGGAATTTTTCTATTTGTTTTTGTCCCCAGGAGAAATTTAATGGAAACAAGGAATCATTGTTCTAATTTCTCAAAGTAGTAGTAAAGCCTCCTCTTTAAAGGGAGGCATTCTTGTGCCTTCCCCAATATCATGTATGTCTCTGTCCAGATTTCTTATTTTGTTAGTGGTGATTTAGACATTGCTCCATTAAATATACTTTCCCCTAAGTTGTAATGTGACCTTACTTTGAAAATGGGCCTGATGCACGCAATTGATCAACCACAGTTGCTACACCAGTTTATAATCTGGCAAGCATCAGGTTTGCGGCAGAGCGTTGTTGCTAGGTGTTTGAAAATGCAAATTGTACCTTTTTACTACTGTCAATCCCAAACTGAAATATGTTATGATTTCAAGACTGTTGTATAATCTTGTCTTCCAAATTTTGACTGCTAGTACAAACGGCCATGTCAGTGGCCATAAGTAACTACCTTCCTTCATATATCGTAGCCAATAGAAATGCCTACATAATGCAACAAAAATTAGCTTAACCTGTTTCCTTTCATGTGCAAAATACAATCCAGTCAGGTGCAAGCAAGTTTAATTTTTAATTGAGAAATAAATAACCTTTGCTGTGATAGTTGGTAAAAGAATAATTTTTTTTTAAAAGTATGAAGAGTACACATCATAAATTGTTGCACAGCTATGTCTAAATCACAGGGAAGTGTTTTGACATTGAATGAAGAAATCTGCTAAATGTGACAGACATTGGGTTATGAAGAGGCAGTACAGTACACTTGGATATATTATTTTTGACATTAATATTTTTGACTTTGGGTCTGTGCATAGTAAGTTAAAATAGGGCTTTTTATAAAGTTAGGTTTGTGTTTTTAGCTGATTACAGGGAAACTTTACAGCTTGTTAATATAGCATGCAGTAATTTACCCCAATAATTTAATAGTAATGTCTATCATCACCTCTGATTTTCTTCAACCAATGTCTTTTTATTAAGCTTTCATTTTGCGTTCAGCGAGATATTTAATTTTGAAGGCGTGCATTGCCATACAATTTTCTTTTTCCAGATATTTTACTGTTACAGTATAAACACTTCCTGTATCTCCCTGTCACATCTTCTGCTAATCTTAACAACTACATGCAACTTTCTCACAGCAAGCAGGATAAGCAGAAGACTTTCTTGAAGATGGTTGCTTCTTTAGGGATAGTCAAAAGGAGGTGTTTGAAAGCAGTCTAAGGTAGCTAGTTTGGATACCTGCTGTTCTACTACAACAGCAACAACAACTTGTGATTCCATAGCACCATTTAATGTTATAAAACACTAAAAACACTTCTCGGGAGTGTGTATCAAACAAAATTCAACATTAACCCTAATGCAATAAGGAGTTATCAGACGTAGATTTTACAGGGTGTATGATCGCAGAGAGGGAGGTGAGGGGGGTTAGAAATTTAGGAAGAGAATTCCAGAGCTTAGATATTCATTAACTGAAGATACGGTTGCCAATATAAGAGCGTGGATACACCAGAGGACAGAATTGGAGAAATACAGAAGATAGGAGCAGAAGGAGACCATTCAGCCCTTCGAGTCTGCTCCTCCATTCTTCACAATCATGGCTGTTCATCCAACTCGATAGCATAATCCTGCTTTCCCCCCATAACCTTTGATCCCATTCACCCCAACTGCTATATCTGGTCGTCTCTTGAATACATTCAATGTTTTGGCATCAAGTACCAAAAAAGCTCAGATACCACAGAGGGTTGTAAGTCCGCATGAGGGTGCATTGATGGGGATGTGGCTAAATAACCTAGGATGGCTCCCAAATTTACTTTTTGAAGGATGAAGAACTTGGTTTCTAATTGTGACCTCAAGGGTGTGAATGTTGCTCAGAACTTGAAACATCAAAAGTGCAGTTCACTGTATATTTGTAGTGAAAAATTCTACTGTACAAGTCAGTTTTACAACTTTTTTTGGGTGCAGCAATTATAATGGAGCTTAATGTTTCTACAGGTACAAAATATACATTGATTTCATTTAGATATTTGACAAAGTGCATAGCCTTATCTCAGTATTTTTTTGCTCTATTTATATAACTGATATAGACCACATCCAAAATAATTTCATTAACCTTGGGTCCTTGACAGTCTAAAGGTGTCAGTCAGTAGTCTGTTCAAGCACTTTTCTAACCCCATGTTGCATTTTATGATAAAAATTGTTTAAATTTTAATCTAAAATTTATATTTACTTTCTTTGAATAACTGCCACTGATCATGGATTATCATGGGTTGTTAAGTACCTTGGTATTTAATGGCTTATTTGCACATTGTATGTACATGCAAAGATGGAATCAAACAATTTGTGTAAGCCATGCATCAAATAACCTGCTTGACTGTCTATCTCACAAATAAAAAATGACAACTTTGCTGAGGCATTAGAGAGCTGCAAGTACCTGCAGAAACTCACTCCAGGCAGTTAAGCAAAAAGCTAAAGAACTGCGGATGCTGGAAATCGGAAACAAAGCCAGAAATTGCTGGAAATATTCAGTAGGTCTGGCAGTATCTGTGGAGAGAAATCAAAGTTAACGTTTTGGGTCCAGTGACACTTCTTCAGAACAGTTGAGCAAAACATTTGGAGAGGAAAGAAGATTTTTGGCAGGGTTATGTTATATAGTATCTGTATTGGCTTTTACTTCTTATGGGGAGGCCATGGCCTAGTGGTATTATCGCTGGACTGTTAATCCAGAGACCCAGATAATCTGGGGACCTGGATTCAAATCCTGCCATGGCAGATGATGGAATTTGAATTCAGTAGAAAATAAATCTGGAATTAAGAGTCTAATGATGACCGTGAATCCATTGTTGTTTGTTGCAGAAAAACTTACCTAGTTCACTAATGTCCTTTAGAGAAGGAAATCGCCATATTTACCTGGTCTGGCGTACATGTGACTCCAGACCTACAGCAATGTGGTTGACTCTTAACTGCCCTCTGGGTAATTAAGGATAGGCAGTAAGTGCTGGTCTAGCAGTGACACCCACATCCAATGAATGAATTGAAAAAACAAAAGAACCCTGTGTCAGGTGTACTCTTACAGTAATTTTTTAAAAATATTGAAAATAAAACCTTGTTGGAAAATGCACAAGCAACCTCTAAGTTTTGGTAACTGTATGCTGGTAATAGTACCCAAAGAAAAATAATGCCGATAAGGTGTGGAATTCTTGGGTATGGAATTGTGGCAGCAAATTGATTCTAGCTGTCTCTGCTATATTTTTATATAGCAATGCAGTGAAAGTAAAGAGTGAATGGTTTCTACAAAGAGATTCCAATGGCGAGACACCTTCTCTCATCAACTGGCCTTCCAGGTACTGTGGAACGTGACTTTTATTGTCATTTTCAAATCATTCCTTATGACTTAATTTACATGTTTTCCACATTGCTCATCTGATCATTATCTGTTCCCTATATTGGCCAGCATTTTATGTTGGACTCATATCTTTCCTGGTAGAAAGATCCACCTTGAAACTTCACACACTAAACTCATTGATCATTTTCGTGTATCTCCATTATTAATGTGTTGGATTTTGAGTGTGCATAACTAACCCTTACTTGGACTTCAAATAACACAAAGTTGTGTTCTATTTCTTGTCACACACTAACCATTCAAAGAACTCTCCCTTGTTGTGATTTATTGCTGTAAAATCTGTTGTACTCTTTGAATGCTAGCGTAAATAAGAGTTGATCCCAGGACCAATGGAGAAACTGCTCAAACAATAGTCTTGTATGTATTCTTTAAGCTTTAAAACACCAATCTGGACTGAAATGTTGCATGGTTTGTTTTTAATACACCGTTTGGGTGCAAATAATGAAATTGATCTGATTTCTGTTAATACTATATGTGACCGAAATGATTAGTTATGATCCCAGATGATACTACTGGATAAGTTGGGTTCCAAGATGAAATTCGGCTTGATAGAACATTATTTTTTAAATTTAACATGGTGGCTTTTCACTGACAAAATGCACACAAGGCTGCAGATTTGGTTTTAACAGTAAAATGGAAATCCAGAAGAGTATTCCATCCCTCTCCAATCCATTGGCTTGACTACTTTCCATCAGTTCCTATTGTCAGAGCTATGAGGCCTTTACCCTGCAATATTCAAATAATTATGATCTTAGACTTTTGTCAGGTTTTTAATAATCTGCATCTTTGTAACCAAGTACTCCTGGTTTGGATGTTTCATAAAGTAAACTCTCTTTCCCAGAGGTAATTTGTTCCCTTAACTATCCTAAACAGTCTCCATTCTTGGAGAAATTATATTTGCATCTGATTTCGGTCAAGTGTCCTCTGAACTGACCCAAAAGCTCTTGAGCAAGACACTAATTATCATTAGAGGAAAAAGTACTAGGAAAACTAATGGGCCTAATAGCTGTTATGTCCCCTGGACCTGATTGGTTGTATCCACGGATTTTAGGGAATAGTGGATGCACTGACAGCAATCTTCAAGAATTCTAAAGTTCTGCAAAAGTACCAGAAAATTGGAAAACTCCTGATGTAACACACTTATTAAAAAAGGAAAGGAGAAAGAGAAAAGTAGCAATGGGCCAGTTAGTTTAACATCTCTTATTGGGAAGATGTTGGAGTCTATTATAAAGGATGCTGAGGCATTTAGAAATACATAATATAATTATTCAAAGTCAGCATGGCTTCATGAAAGGAAAATCGTACCTGACAAGCCATAGCGTCATACAGCACGGAAACAGATCCTTCAGTCCAACCAGTCCATGCCGAACATAATCCTAAACTAAACTAGTCCCACCTGCCTGCTCCTGGTGCATGTCCCTCCAAACCTTTCCTAGTCATATACTTATCCAAATACCTTTTTAAATGTTATAATTTTAAATGTTGAACCACCCTCTGTAAAAAAAAAATTGCCGCTCATGTCTTGTATTAGAGTTCTTTGAGATAATGACAAGTAGGATAGATAAAGGGGAACCAGTAAATATAGAATATTTTGATTACCAAAAGGTGGTTCATAAGGTACTTCCCATAATTCCACTTAATAAGGTAAGATTACATGATGCTGGGAGTAGTGTATTAGCATGGTTAGAGGATTCGCAAACTAATAAAAGACAGAGTAACTAACGGAGTGCCTCAGGGATCTGTGCTACAGCCATAATTATTTGAAATATATATATTAATGATGGATTGAAGTGATGATGGAAGTGAATGTAGTGTCAGCAAGTTTGAGGATGGCATGAAAATAGTTGGAAAACAAGTAATGAGGACGAGTCTGCAGAGGGTTAGAGACAGTTTAAATGGGTGAACAAAAACTTGACAGATGGGATATAATGTGGGAAAATGTAAGATCACCCATAAAGTATAGAGAAGCTCAGTATCATTTTAAATAGGGAAAGATGGTAGAAAGCTACGGCACAGAGGCATTTGGGTCCTCATGCATAAACTACAAAAAAAACTAGCATTCAAGCCTAATGGATAATGGAAAACCAAATGGAATGTTGGCCTTTATTTCAAAGGGAATGAATCATAAGAATAGGGAGATCTTGCTGAAACATTGAGGCACTAGTCAAACCACACCTGGGATACTGTAAACCGTTTTGGCCCTCTTACCTAAGGAAAGATGTCTTAGCATTGGAAGCAGTCCAGACAAGGTTCACTGCATTGATTCCAGTTATGAAAGGATTTTCATATGAGGCCATGATTCTCAGAGGTTGAGTAAGTTGGGCATATACTCATTGGTGTTTAGAAGAATGAGATACATTGAAATATATAAGATTACTAGAGGGCTTGACAAATGTATGGAGTATTTTCCCCTTGTGGGAGAGTCTAGGACCAGAGGACATAATCTCTGAGTAAGGGATCACCCATTTAAGACCGAGATGAGGACAAGGTTTTTTTCTTCAATGCTAGTCAATCTGCGTAATTCTTTATCACAGAGGGCTGCAGAGACTTGGGCATTATGTATATTCAAAGCTCAAATACACAGATTTTTAATTAAGGGAACCAAGTGTTATGGGATAAAGCAGGAAAATAGAGTTGAAGATGATCAGATCAGCCATGATCTCAATGAATGGTGAAGCAGACTGGATGGGCTGGATGGCCTGCATATGGTAACTAATTTTTTTTTTTAAGAGACTTGTTCATCCTAGATTCTGTTCACGTAATGGCCTCTTTCTGTTTGTGAACCCCCTACAACGTAAACAAATTTTCATAAACCCTCCAGTTGGCCTTGCAGTGATCTGTTTTCTAATCTATACTGGTTTAAAGTCATGGATCCAGGAAGACTGACCAAGTTAAGTATTTAACACCTCCACAAAACTAACCCAGCGCCCATCGCTGTTTCGAAAACTAAAGGATATTAAAATATGTAAATCACACTCCTTTTATCACAGTGGAGCACATTACTTCACAGGAAGGAAAGTCTTTCTGGGAAAGGTACAGCATTTTAATTGAAGGAAAATTAAATTTAAACTTAGATGGAACTGGTTCAGACATGGATAAGGTGCAATTCTTTTGATTATAGAGAGATGCAATAAAAAGGAAAATAATTATGGGCATTCGTACCCCACTTGATTCAAGAAGATTGATTAGATCAAGCACATGGTAATCACATAAGGGAAATTTGATGTTGGCTTTTCGGCACTGTGTTAGTGTTCTTACCTCTGGACTGGAAGATCCAGGTTCAGGTCTCATCTGTCCTGGAGGTGTGACATAACATGTCTGACCAATTTTTATCAAAAATATCTGTTGGGAAAAATGTATAGAAACAAACAAATTGTTAGAATAGTAGAATTATTATAGCGCAAGAAGCTATTGTTTGATTCTTTAAGTATATGACAGCTTCTATGCAAGAAAAACGCAGTGTGCTTGGGAGACATCTCGGGACAGTTCTGTAGGAGAGGAAAATCAATGCGATCATGCAAAGGGGAATATATCACTAGAAAAGAAAGATGCAAAGAGCAACACTCAAAATAGGCAAAGATTAAAGTATTCAGGAAATGTGGTCATAAATTTCAGCCTACATTTCCTGGGTGGCTAACGTGTCATTGACCCACCCATACCCACATTACCAGGATAGGGCTTGGGCAAGGTGTTGGTGTCTGCCCTTGGCCCATAATGAAGCAGTTAGCTGCTTCGTCCAGGCCTGAATCTGCCCCATCACAATTTTCTGATCTGTGTGGACTGGGTGGGGGTGCAAGGGTGCCGAACTGAGCAGTGCTACATCTTTGACTCAGTGGGCTGCTGCAGTACTTACTTCGGGGGATCCCCTATGCTGCCAAAATTGTGCTATCCATCTATTAATCCATACCTCTCCATGGCCTCTCCAACACAATCCACCGTATACTTCCTTCCCTCGCTATGCTGCTGTCTCCCAGCCTGAACCTACTGAGATCATCTCCTCATCTTTAGAACTTTTATCATCTCTAGGGCAGTCTGTACTCTCTTCTGGCACTGCTCACACTAAGAGCTGACAGCAGTTCAGATTGAAAGGCCCTCTCTAGCCCACTTACATGCAAATAATGCTTTTTCTGCTTTTAACTTTTTTTTTGCAGCTAGGGGATTGTAGCTTCAGGTGATAACATCAAATAAGTTGAGTGCACAGGGATCTGAATAGGTTAGAATGGTAATTGATGAATTGCACTTGGCACTTATTGTAAAAAAATGTAGATTAATGAGACTAGAGCAGGTATAATAAATAGTGTGAATATAAATCAAGTGGTCCACGAGGCATTACACCAGAGAATTTTAAGGGTACTTTAAGGGACACTTTGTGTAAAGCAGCAGCTCAGTACAACTCTGTATATGTCAGCAGTAAAAGAGCTAACCCCGTCCTCTGGATCTACAACAAACATGCTAGAAAGTGATAAGTTTCGTCAAGGTATCTCGAGTACTTCGTAAAGTTATAGTCATCAACAATTGCAGGCTGTGAAGAAAAGGATTATCTTGGTGTTGGTGGGACGTAAGGTGCTTTATGTCTGCAGCCAGGTTGCAAATGTTCTGTTCAATTTTAACAACAGTGTTTAATTGGTGAAATTTTTATTCCATGTGCTGCCTATATGTGTTCACAAATCTAAGGGAATATTAAATTTCAACTGTAATGTGCTTGAGACTGCACCTGTTTCAAATTTTAGAATTTGCAGCGGAGACACTATTAAGTACTTCACACTAAAGCAGCCCAGGAAGATAATGGGCCAGTTTGAATAAAAATCAAAGGAGAATTGCATAGATATTTGAGGGAGTGAATAATTGAAAAGAATTAAGAAATGAATTTGTAGGTAGGCATTTGAAGTAAACATGTTTAGGTTTGCACCACTTACCTCCCTACCATCTTAACTTCTCAAATCAAATGCAGGAGTGGGAAATTATTTTAAATTACTTTAAATGATTTTAATTTGAGACCCCGATTAATGGCCGCAGAAGTTGTCATCAAGTCACATCTTAGCCATAGAATGCACAGGCTAATATTTCTTTGTGTTTTGCAAAAATCCCATATTGGTCAGACAAAACGGGAGTGTTTGCCCTGGACCAACAAAGACCTTTCCTGCTCTTGGCCACACATAGTCTGAACTAGAAACTCCCATTGATTTCTGCCTCCTCACCTGCCTTGAAAGGGACTTTTTTAAAGTAACTGTTTTCATTACTGGCACAGGTACATTGTTCCATCATTATGATTGATTGAACCAGTTAATACGTTTATAAAGTAGATGTGCATGAAACTGGGAATAAATGTGTTTGTACAGCCACATGAAATGTTTTTTTGTGTATTTATCTATGTACTCTTTCATTCAAAGGTGAAAACCAGTCGACCCAGTGAATTGCTTTGCATATCAACACACAGTAAATTCTATTCATTTAACAATGTCAATAAATTAATTCATGCAATTATCCAATCAAGAAAATAGATCTGGAGAATATTTTGTTAATGTCCTCACTGTACTTTGGTGCACATCCAAGACCCTTCCTTTTTTTTGTGTTACCCCAATCATTCTATTTTTGATATTGTCAGCAGTAGTCCTATGTTGTTTTAAAGATCTTGCCTACATAATTGACACCAGAGCTCTTACTTAGTCTCCAAGTAGGGAGTATCCTTATACATCATCTTCAATAAAGGGTGGCATCTTTTAAACATGTTTCATATTGCCTCCAAAAACCACTATACTGTTAAGGTTGTCTAAGCTAAGCTAAGTAATTTTCTTCCATTTTTAACCATAAAATTGATCAACATTTACAGCTGTAGTGAGTGTGGCAAATAATCTATCTAAATAATCTAATCAAATAATCGTTATACAGCATGGTCGGTAGATTGTTCAAGGATCTGATTTGGATTCCTATATGAAATTTAGCACAACAGAAGAATGATTCAGAAAACTTAACTTTACCAAAACATCCAAGAGAGATAATCTGAACTGATAAAGTTTATCTCTATCAGAAAAGCAAACTACTGCAGAAATTAATGAGAGTTCATGCTATGTCAACCTCTAACATGTATCACGTGAGCTTGCTGCATGATAAACAGAGACGCGGACTCTTACCATCAACATCTGTAGATTTCCTAAAATGTCTTTTAAATGGTTTACCAAGGTCAATCTTGAAACACTGGTATTTCTCTCAAATCTTTGTGGCTTGGATTCAGGGAGTGTCACTTACAGCACCTTTAAATCAAGAATTGGCATGGTGAACAAAAGACTAATCAAATGATGAGCAATAAAAACAAAGTGCTGGACAAATTCAACAGGTCTGGCAGTATTTGTGGAGAGAGAAACAGTTAACATTTCAAGTCCAATATGACTTCTTCAGCACTGAAAGGGGCTGGAAAATGATTGTTTTTATGCTATTGATACAGAGGGAGGAGAATCAAGTGAACAAATGGTGGACAGAATAGTAGCCAAAGAGAGGGCCCATGGTGGAGGAGAGATAGCGATGAAAAATAGATGTAAATGGTAGGTGTTAACAATGAGTGCTCTTGAACTAGCATATTACATATTTGCAAAACTTCAAATGCAAAACTAGATTCAACTCCAATGGACTTATAAAAGCTTCTGTGCTTAAAACTACCATAACATTTTTACCTCATTTATATTTGGAGGATGAATTATTACTTTTTCCAATTTATGGGAAGTGGATGTTACTGGATAGATCAATATTTATTGCATTGTCCAAGTCACCGTGGAGAGGACAGAGGTGAATTATCGTATTGAACTGCTGCAGTCCTTGAAGTTGTGTAGGGATATCAAAAGTTCTGTCAGGATGGGTGTTTCTAGATGTTGATCCATGAATTTGCTGCCCTTCTGGGTGGTAGAGGCAGTGGGTTTGGAAGGTGATGTTGAAGAAGTCTTTGAGTTACTGCAATGAACCTTGTACTTCAGTGCTGAAGGGAGTGAATGTTGAAGGAAAATTAGGGGTACCAGTAAAGCAGGCCACTTTGCCCTGAAATGTCATCAAACTTCTTGAGTGCTGTTGGAGCTTCACCTATCCAGGCAAAAGGAAATTATTCCATCGAACTCCTAACTTATATGTTGTAAGTGGTGAACAGATATTGGGGAGACAGGATGTGGGTTAGTTTCTACAGAATTCCAAACTTCTGATATGCTGTTGTAACCAAAATATTTGAATGTCTTGTCCAGTTCAGTTTCTGGTCAATGGTAGCTGCCCCCACAGGCTGTTGATTGTGGGACATTCAATTATGTTAATATTGAACACCAAGGGGCAATCTGTTCTCTTTTAGATGTCATTGTTTGGCAGAAGTGTTACTTGGCCTTTATCAGCTCAAGCCTGGATATTGTCCAGGCCTTGCAGCATTTGGACATGGACTGCTTCAGTAGCTGAAAAGTCATGAATGGTGCTGAACATTGTGCAATCATCAGCGAACATCCCACTTCTGACCTTACAATGGAGTGAAGACCATTAATGAAATGGTTGAAGATGATTGGACCTAGAACACAACCCTGAGGAACTATGGCTGAGATGAGTGACCTCCAATAACCATAACCATCTTTCTTTATGCTAGATATGACTTCAACCGGTGAAAATATTTCCCACAATTCCCATTAATTCCAGTTTTGCTATGGCTCCTTGATGCCACTCTGTTCAAATGATCCTTGATGTCAAGTACAGTAACTTTGACTTCACCAATGGAGTTCATGTTTGAACTGAGATTTTAATGAGTAAGGAGGAACCGAAACAGCATCTGTGAGCAGTTCATTCCAGACCAAGTGCCTCTTGATCACACTGTCAATGACTGATGATCAAACTATATAGTTGCTAATGACCAGGTTTGATTTATCCTACTCTTTATGAACGTGACATCCCTGGGTAATTTTCCACATTGCTGGTTGGATGTTAGTGCTGTAGCTGGACTGGAAGAGCTTGGCTATAGGTGCAGCTAGTTTTGCAGCGTTAAGTCTCCAAAATATTTCACAACAAGAAAAGTGGCCCAAACATAGCTTATAAAAGAACTTAAGGATCGTGAGTAATCCAAAGACAAGCTATATGAAATTGCTAGAAAAGGCAGCAAGCCTGAGGATTTGGAGCAATAAGGATTCAACAAATGAAAACCCATAAGTTGACAAAGAGGGCAAGACTAAAGTATAAGAAAAAAACCTGTAGGGACTATAAGAGTTTCTAAAGTATGTCAAAGAAAAAGATTAGTGAAGACAAAGGTAAGATTTTTACACTCTGAAATAGGAGAATTGATCAGGGAGTATAAGGAAATGGCAGAGCAATTGAGCAGCTACTTTAGTTCTAGCTTCACAGAGGAAGACCACAATTTTTTTTTTAGAATTAATAGGGAAGCAAGGGTCTATTAGGAAGGAGGAACTGAAGGAGACTACTATTAATAAACAAAAAGCACTGGAGAAAATAACGGGACTGAAAGCTGATAAATCCCTAAGGCCTGGTAATCTATATCCCAGGATAATAAAACATAGCAAATAGGGGCAAGAGTGGACAATTCAACTCTTTGAGCAAGCTCTGCCATTCAGAATGATCCCAACTGATCATCCAACTCAGTATCCTGTTCCTGCTTTCTCCCTATGCCCTTTGATCCCTTTTGCCCTAAAATATTATATCTACCTGCTTCTTCAAAACATTCAAATAAAAACCAAAAGAACTGCAGATGCTGTAAATCAGGAACAAAAACAAAGTTGCTGGAAAAGCTCAGCAGGTCTGGCAGCATCTGTGGAGGAGAAAACAGAGTTAACGTTTTGGGTCCGGTGACCCTTCCTCAGAACTGACCCGAAACGTTAACTCTGTTTTCTCCTCCACAGATGCTGCCAGACCTGCTGAGCTTTTCCAGCAACTTTGTTTTTGTTCTTCAAAACACTCAGTGTTTTGGCCTCAGCTGCTTTCTGTGGTAGAGAATTCTACAGACTCACCGCTCTGATGAAATTTATCCTTATTTCAGTGCTAAATGCTCTACGCCATATCCTTAGACTGTAACTCCTGGTTCTGACTCGCTGATCATTGGAAACATCTTCCTGTATTTACCCTGCCTAGTCCTGTTAGAATTTTGTAGAATTCTGAGATCTCACATTAATTCTTCTAAACTCTAGTGAACATAATCCTAACTGATCTACTTCATATGTCAGTCTTGCCGTCCCAGGAATCAGTCTGGTAAGCCTTTGTTGCACTCCCTCCATAGCCAATATATTCTTCCTCAGATAAGGGACCAAAATATGTCAAAATTAAAGCCTCAGTACAGTATAGGATTGGTTGAGGCCTTGTATTTTGTTTGATGTTATTCGATAAAATGCTGATTTGGTTGATTGCCTATCTGTATAGTGTGAGCCACATTCCAGAATTGAAGGCTATACTGTCAGGAGGGAATCTAACTTCTCCAGAATGTGGAAAATCACAGCCAGAGGTGATATTAGCAGAACTGAAAAATGTTACAAGCTGTTTTTTCACAATGGTATTAAATTCCTTAGTGCTATTACTACTTGTTTGATTAATATCTTTGTTCGTTTGACACATTGGCAATGTGTAGAACCATTTCGTTTTCGGTTCTTTCATGGGACAGAGGTTGTAAAAAATGTTGCTACTTTATTGCAAGAAAACAGTATTTGCTCAATGTTCGTAAACTTGCTGTATAAATTCTGATTGGAAGTTATACTGTTGCATGAAAAGTTGCAGAGGTTAGTAAAATTTGTTATCCCTGATGCTGCACTTTCCTCTCTCTGTTTCTCAAAAAAAAGGAGCAGTAGGATACCGAAAGCAACTCGGTGACAGGAGCAGAGAAAATTGGAGATCAAAATCTGTCCATATTGTGCCATTTGAGTAATCAGAGTAACCTGAGTTAATTAATGTAATGATACATAATTATTTGCAATGAATATTTCAGCAAAAGTCTGATTAAACACTGGAGGCCTCAATAGCAGACACCACCCTGGTGTTAAACCTTATACAGACAGAGCTTCATGCCAAATCCAGCAAGAAATGTGCACTTTGAGACAAAGTCTGTGCTACTTGGCCTCATTCCACTTTCTTTCTCTCCGTTTGCAATGTCATTTGGAAAACTCCCAGCATATTCCAAAACTTTTCAAATTTAAAATGTGGCCAATTTTTCAATAGCTGGAAAAAAGTGCTTTGCATTTATGAGTTTAAATGCATTTCTATGCACAATGGCAACCCCTTCTTTATCCAATAATCACTTACAACACAGCCATTCAAGCCACAAGTACATACCGGATGGTTATGTCCCAACCAAGCCTCATGTGTAAACCCATCTACATATCCTTCTGTTTCTTTTCTCCTTCATCATCTTGAATGCACCTTTTCATATTTGCTTGAATCAGTCCACACAGTCCGCATTCTAACTGCTCTGTGATTAAAGCAGATTACTGAATTACCTACAGGATTTATCAGTAACAATCCTCTAGGTTAAAAAAAAGGCTCCTGTTTCTGGACTCAACAACGTAGATTTCATGGGTTGTTATTCTCAATAGAGTTTTTCAATTTTTCCATTTTTTTGCCATTGTATAAACACACATTGATCATTATTCCCATTCCTGACCAGGGACCCCAAGAGCGATGAAGATCTAGATTGAAGATCTCTTTCCAAACGAACCTTTTCTGAGTTTGGTTGCTGCGTTATGCCCTTGATGCCTTTGACCTTATTGGTTCTGAGTGTTACCCTTCCTTTCATTTTTTTTTCTTCTGTTTTGGACTTCAAAGTTTAGTCTTTTTGTTTCAAAGCTGTCTACTTTTGGTGTTGTTCAAATTTAAAAGTCAACTTCTTTTAATGGCAATCTCTGTACCTCCATTAAGGTGTTTTTCCACAGCTTTTCTGTGGTACACTATTTCTCATGCACTTCTGATATTTCCGGAAAGGCTAGCACATGGAGTGAGATTTTAGTTTCAAACTTTCATGTCAAACTTTGTTTTGTTTTCATCTGAATCTTTGTTACTCTTTAACTTGCAGTACCATATTATATGCAGTTCTGTTCTCCACGCATCTCTCAAATCCACCACAGGTTCATCAGACAAGACTTCTAAGAACCTAGCATAATCGCCAATATACTTTCCAAAGGTGATGCAATCTTTTAAAATTAGGTTTGAGTGTTATCTTGAATAACCTAGCCAATATAATGAAATCCTGACCAGAAATTCAATAACTTCATTAAAGTTCCATTTGTTTT